CACTCTTGCTGAAAACATAAGTCTTCAATTCCTTGGGGTAAACACCATGGGTCTCAGTTGCTCAATTATATGGTAAGGGTATGTTTAGTTTCTTAGGAAACCATCCCACGGTCTACCAAGATGGCTGTACCCGTTTGCATTCCCACCAGCGGTGAATGAGAGTTCCTGTGGCTCTGCACCGGGTCAGCATTTGGTGGTGTCAGTGTTTTGGATTTTGGCCAATCTGAGAGGTATGCCGTGGTATCCCCTTGTAGTTTTAATTTGCATTTCCCTGATGACACATGCATTTCCCTGCATTTCATATGCTTATTTGCCATCTGTATATCTTCTTTGGTGAGGTGTCTGTTAAGGTCTTTAACTCATTTTTGTAAATTGGGTTGTTTTTTTACTGTTGAGTTTTAAAAAATCTCTGTATGTTTTGGATAACAGTCCTTTCTCAGATGTGCCTTTTGCTAGTATTTTCTTCCAATCTGTGGCTTGTCTTCTTCTTCTCTTGACACATCTTTTATTTCAATTTGTGCATCTAACAATCTTTGTATAAGAATAGAAACAACTTTCAGTCACCTTTGTTCACTTAACTAATAAATATAATTTTAAGTTGTCCTAAACAGACATAATTAATTAAGTTCTTTAAATGCCTGAAACTATGTAAAAATTTAGTACATCTCAGTCTTTCATATATTCCAAATGACTGACAAAGCAGTCTTACAAGGACTGATAAGGACTTTCTAAACTTCCTGATCATTTAAATCTTCTTAAGCACTTAAACTTATTAGCCCTGAAAATGTAATAATTCAAAATTATTATGTAGCTCAAACTATCTTATATATTTGAATACAATTTGCAATCAAATTAAGTTACGCTTTTCGAACTAAAATTATAAGAGTACTATCAAATAAGTGTTTAAATTCAAGTCACAAAAGCAGTTGTCAGATTGTTTTACTATGTCTCTATACATAGTAGAGACTTAGGGTTTTAAGCAGTTAAAGAATAAACACGTTGATTATCCCAAGGTTATACATCTTATCCATAAATTTAACAAAAAAGCATTGATACTGTATTTCTTTGCTGGGGCTTCCATAACAATGTACCACAGACTGAGTGACTTAAACAACAGAACTATATTTCCTCACAGTTCTAGAGATCAGAAGTCTGACACAAGGTTAGGTTTTTCTGAGGGCTGTGAGAAAAAATCCATGCCTCTTCCCTACTTCTTGGTGATTCCCTGGCAATCCTTAGGGATCCTTGGATTGCAGTGCCTCACTTTGATTTCTGTCTTCTTCTTCACATGGCAGGCGGCTCCCAGGTGGCTCAATCGGTAGAGCATATGATTCTTGATCTCAAGGTTATGAGGGTTATGAGTTTGAGCCCCTCATTGGGTGTAGAGATGACTCAAAAATAAAGATCTTAAAAAAAAAAGTTCTTCTTCACATGGCATTCTCCATGGGAAGAGTTCTCATACTCTTACCATGTGATCCAGCAATCAAAGTCCTTGGTATTTACCCAAAGGAATTGAAAATGTATGTCCACACAAAAACCTGTGCACTAATGTTTACAGAAGCTTTATTCATAATTGCCAAAACTTGAGGTAACTGAGATGTCCAGTTCAGTGGGTGAGTGGATAAATAAATTATGGCACATCCCAACAATGGGATATTACTCAGCACTAAAAAGAAATGAGTTATCAAGCCATGAAGACATGGAGGAACTTTAAATGCACATTACTGAATGAGCGCCAATCTGAAAGGGTCACATACTGTAGAATTCCAACTATATGACATTCTGGAAAAGGCAAAACTATGGAGACATGTCATAAAAGACCAGTGGTGGTTAGAGATTGTGAGAGAGATGAATAGTCAGCACAGAGGACCTGTCAGCAATGGAAATCCTGTGTATGATGCTATAATGGTAGAAATGTGCCATTATACCTTTGTAAAAATCCATAGAATGTACAACACCAAGAGTGAACTCTAAACTGTGGACTTTGGGTGATAATGATGTGTCAGTGTAGGTTCATTGATTATGATATATGTATCACTCTAATGCAGGATATTGATAGTGGGGGAAGCTGTGTGTGTGGAGGGGGGAGGACAGGGGCTAAATAGAAACTATGCACTTTCCACTCAGTTTTGTTGTGAACCTAAAACTACTCTAAAATAAAGTTTATTAATTAAAAAAAAACTATACTAAAATACATAAAGTAGAAATGATCCATATAGAAATTCAGTATAGGAAATGATCCATGCCCTTTGGTTCTAGGAGCGTATAAAGTGCTTGAGAGCAGAAATTATTCTTATTTATTGATATATATCCAGTATCTCACATTGTGCTTAATAAATAGTCAATAGATGACAGTTGAATGAACGAATGGATGGGTGGATGACTGAATAAGAGGTATAGTGCAATAAACTTCTGGAAGAGGAAGAGTCCTTCTAACAGAATTCTTTTGCTTGGGCAGATTAACTCAGTGTAGAGAGGAAAGTGACCTTGCCCACACACGTAGTTTTGGGTTGCTGTCTGCATGGCAGATCAGCCTAGTGTATAAGCACAGAGAAGAGCAGAAATGTCCAGAGCAGCAGTGGAATAGATTGGAGCCTGATACATCAGAACAGTGAAGGTCTGGGAGTCAGGCTTCAAATCTCAGTTCATTCAAAGTCCATAGAAAGTTGTTAGGTTGCCTTGGTAGTTTTATTTGGAAAAATGTTCTTTTGCTTATTATTGTTAACCAGCAAATAAAAATTGTTTTGGATTCCTTGGGATGACCAGCATCAGAGATAATTGGTGTTTGTACCATGAATAACCCAAGTGCTTGGTCAAGGTCATACCTATACCTGAGGTCAGGCCCCTTTGAGCCCCGTCAATCTAGCTGCCAAGCCAAACTGGGCCAGGGCCCTGATTTGCTCTCTTCTGAGGCTCCAACTTTAATCCAAATGAATATTGTAATTATAGGATATCAAAGAGAGCCCCAGTCTATAAGGATTACATAGTCCTTCTCATAAACAGTTGAATAAGAATTAGAAGTCGATTGATTCAGCATGTGATTCTCTATAATGAATCTCTAAAAACTGTTAAAATATGACTTTGGAACTTACATATCTGAACTTTCCAGTCCATAATTGACAAACACATAGGAACATAGTTTTCAACAATCTACTTATGGAGTATTCCTGGTGTAGATTATCCATAAGGTCTATAGTTTTCTCAAGAAAAATAGAGCAGGATGTCGGATGCTGTATTTATTTGTCCATCTGCCATTGAAGCCCACGCTGGTTGCTTCTTTACAAGTTATGCATATTACAAATGGGAATTCCTTACCAGGAGAATTTTCATAGAAAAGGGATTCACATCCAGCCCATCAGCATATTTATTGTTCTACTTCCAAAATATGTCCCAGTCCATCTACTGCTTTCTTTCTCCACCGCTTACTGTTCTAGTCCAAGCCACCACCTCTCACTAGCCTCCTGCCCATTCTACTTTTCCGTCTGCCCCCAATCCATTCATTTCCACATCCTGGCGAGTCATGTTTAAAATATCAAAACTGCCTGCTTTGAAATCTCTAGTGGCTTTCCATGGCCATTCAAAGGAAACCCAAACTCTCTCTGGTGGCTAGTCTTGCCCAAACTCACCTCCCTGGCTCCTATCACACCCCCATCCCTGCCCCTTACTCGCTGTCCTCCAACCCCACTCTGACTTTCTTTCTGCAAGCCAGGCCCTTGCCCTTGCTGGCCCCTCTGCCTGGAACAGTCTGATTCCAGTCCTTTTCCTGGCTGACTCCCTTGTCATCCAGGCCTCTGCTTCCCAAAGGATGGCCTTCCCTAAACTCCCCGACTCAAAAGGCCCTCCCTGCCCTTCCCAGTCACTCTCCCTCCTCTCCATTTTATTTCCTTGCCAGCCCATTTTGTTACTGAAAATGTCATGTTTGTCTCTTTGTTTCTTTTCTTAATGTCTGCCTTCTCACTGCCTGAATACCCCAAGGAAACATATATCTTCGTCCTGCCTCTGCTAAATCCCCTGTGCCTAGAGCAGTGCCTGGCATAAAATACATGTGCATTTGGATAAGTGAATACATAGATAGACACAGATATGTCTATATATTCGTTCAATAAATATATTTATTTTAATGTTTATATATTCATTTAATCTATATTCATATATGTTGTAGATGAATGAATAAATATCCCTGAAGATTTTTTCCATATCCAGTTTTTATCATGTTGGAATGTTGGAGCAGATGGAATAATCATTTCTAAGTGTAGGAGCTGGGTTAGAATCAAGGCAGCAACATAAGAAAACAATAAAGGATTTTGTCTCTTTCCTATAACTTACTGCACTTTGAACATAGTTGGAATGACACCTACAATTACCATCGACTCCTTGGCAAAATGCCTCCAGTACCCCCAAGACGAGCTGTGGGTATGGGTGTGTGTTTCCGAATGTATTTTTGATGTACCTTATTTAAAAGGGTTTTACTACTATAAACTCCAAGCTGTAGTCCAAAGTTCTCATGCCTATACTTAAATCGCACATATCCTTTGATTTTGGTGCTGGGATCTTTGGATTTCTCTTTCTTAACTCTCATTTATCCACACATATAATGTCACTTTTAAGATGGCTTTAAGGGGAACGAACATCTGGAAATGACCACATTAAGTTCTGAAGTTAAGTTTCCCATAGATAGATTTATCTGTGGTCTCAGGAATTCGATCGTTGCTACTTCCTCCTTGCGGAGCTCCTCATTTCTATTTTTTATTCATATTTGCAATCGCAAAATATTTCTTTCAGCACTCACTGGGTAACAGGCACCATGCTCACCTCTCATATTAAAATAGCTAAGGAGACGGAGCCTGCTTGGGTCTCATTGTCTGACATCATCATCTGCGGGATGGCCTTCTTATGCCGGAGCCTTAGCATTCTTCCCCACTCTGTCCCCAGCCATCGCCACTGCCGTGCTATACTCTCCAGGGGAGGGTGATGCTTACATTTTTGTGGTTGTGTTTCAGCAACTTGGAAGTATATACAGTATACTGGCTGCAATCTTGAACGTTGGCAACATTGAGTTTTCTTCTGTGGCAACTGAACACCAGATTGACAAGAGCCGCATTTCCAATCATGCGGCTCTGGAGAACTGTGAGTGTTATTATCTTCTGTTCAAAACTGCACTCGTGAAAAATGTCTAATGAAATACTGTAAGTGTCTCATAAAGATCATCTCAAGCAATTGTGCTTATCTGGAGTCCTAAAGAAGAATACTCTGACTCAGTTTGCGTAAAATGAAGTTTTTAAAAGCCAATATTTAAAACAGAGCTTCATGCCTACAAATTAACTGTAGAGAACCTTTCTAAAGACTAGGCTTTCATGACTATTTTAGGAGCTATTTACATTTCAATGTAAAAACACAGAAAATATCACTAAAATTTAGTAAACTGATCTGAAAAGAGTTAAAGTTATTATTTTATAGGTTCAGCATCTGTATCATTTTATAAGCAATAAAGACTTGTATATTTATTTTCATACTGGGTGGCTTTTATACTCACTCATCCTGGGTTGACTGATTTTGCGATCATTTTCTATGTAAAAAAAGTGCATCATGGTATTTGCTTCAAATCAACTTTTCTGTCTAACTAGTAAAACTCAATGAATTATTCCAATAACTTAAGGTTTCCCACTGATCTTGTGGGGCATAGCTTTTTTTATTTAGAATATACACTTTTTAAAATTTTTAATATGGTCATATGCCCCCATAATTGCAGGTTTGTTATAAGTTTCATTCATAACTTAGGGAATCATGATATAAATTTTTATTTATACATATTTTTTCTGATTTATACTTAATGAGGAACAGAATGAGATGTTTTAGGGTAATTTCAGGGAACCAGATGCCAACCATCCTGGTCTGGACCTGTCCCTAGATCCCTATCATCTCCATCCCACTGTGTCTCTGGGACCAGCTTGGTAATACAGCAGGACTGAGATTGGCATGTAATGATTGGCATGGACCTGGGAACCTGTTCTGATTTTTCATATATAAATAAAGTTAATTGGCACAGGAAGCATTAGACTGATATTATTTATTTACTTATTTTCTGAGCCATGGAGCTCCCTCCAGCCCATGGTGAGCTGGGCCTTCTTTTAGCCAATGTGCTGCAGGCTGCATAGATTCCAGGCTGACCCTTCGTTCAGCAAACCTAGTATTTTTTGGAGCCCATGGGCCAGTAGCTCCGAGCTGATCTGTAGCTCCCAGAAGTCCTCAGTTATCAGAAGTGGCAGGAAAAAACAGAAAACTCCAATGATGGATTCAGATCTCACCATTGATCATAATTAGAAGAGTTATCAGCCATGAATAGAATGATTTACAACAGAGATATGTTGTAGGTATGAGTATACCTAGAAACTACCAAACTAAGAAATGACTTTGGTAATTGAGAAGCTTTTTCTGTATAGGAGACAGTCATATGGGTCATAGAAGGTTAATATTAATATGAATATAGTTAAAATTAATTGAAGCACTTTCTGGAATAGCCATTCATGGAAAATAGAAATTTTGCTGACTTACTTAAAATGGTTTATAACTAAAGTTGCAAGGAATTATCTCGAAACCAAGGCCATGTTTCCTGATGGTTTTACAGGTGCATCGTTTCGATCAGGCACCGGTTCTAGTCTATTCTATCCCATAAATATCTCTCAAATCTAACTACTTCTCTTTATCTCCATTATCATCATTCTCACTAAAGACACCATCACCTCTCACCTGAGCTAAGTGACCTCCCACTTGTTCCTTCTACATCAGTTCTTGAACTTTTCCAGGCCATTCTCCACAGTTCATTCAGAAACCACTAAAGGCATGTATCAGTGGGTTCTCTCAATCTCCCTCTCCCTCTCCTCCTTCTGTTTTCCCACTTAAATTTCTTGATTAGTTTCCCATTCCTTCTGGATAAAGTTGATCAAAACTAGAAGTTTTTCTCACAAGGTATTATACTTAGCAGTATATTCCTAGGTAAAATGCTTGGCATGTAGTAGACACTTAATAAATATATGTCAAATGAATGAACAATGTAGGAATAGAAATAGACATATTAATCAATGGGAGACACTCTTCAGAAACAGATCCAGGTAGAATTGCCAGAAATGGCATTACAAATCACTAGGGAATCTGTGCTGTAGTGACCGTGAACTGGCTAGCCGTTTGGGGGGGGGGGGTTCGAATTTTTGTCATATACCATATACCAAAATGAATTCCAAACCTATATCAATTTAAATGCAAAAAAGTGATAAAAGTACAAGACAAAGTGCATTTATATAATTCTGAGATGAGAAAAGACTTGAAGGATTTTATGTGCAGAAAAGCAAAAGCAGAAAGGATTTTTTTAATGGATATTTGACTACATAAATATTAAAGACTTTTTCATACTACCAAAAGAAAAATAAATGAAATTGCAATACAAGTGGAAAAATGAGAGAAAATATTTGCAGCGTATATATAAGCAACATGTATGAGCTATAAAGGGCTCTTCTAAGCTGATTAGGAAAAGATAAATACATCAATGACAAAAGGCAGTTTATAAAATAAAAAACCACAAATTACTAATAAAAATATGAAAAGAAGAAAGTATTTAGCTTCACTAGGAGTCAGTTAAAAACAAATTGAAAAACAAAGGCATATTTTCCTATCAAATTGGTCATTTTCAAAAATCATAACCTGTGGTGTCCATGAAATTGCATTGAAATGACTGGTTTTTTACTTGGCTGATAATAATGTAATTGGTTCAGAGTCTTTGAAGAGCAGCTAGATAGTATATATCAAAATGCTTAAATATGTTTATATGCTCTGAACCAGTTGCTGAACTTAGGCAATTTATGCTAAGACAATGATACAAAACAGGAACACAGTTTCATACCCCAAATATTTATCCCGGCATTCTTTACAATTGTGAACATATGGAAATGACCTAAACATCCAACAGTTTAAAAATTATTGATATCATTTGATATAGAGCAGAATATCATACAGCAAATTAAAATCATTTACAAGCAATATTTAACAAAATGAGAAATGCTTAAGGTATTTTATTAAGATGAAATGTATGTACAGACTAGCAGCTGTAAACATGCCTAAAAGGAAAGAAATGCAGAATGTTAACTTCAAAGGTAAGATTTCTGAAGTCAGCCTGTGTTACATCCACAGCCTGAAAAAAATTATTTTATTTAAGTAAGGTTCAGTGATCTTAGCCACATAGCCATTTGCTAAAAGCAAATTCAAAATGTTGAAAATAATTTGAAAGGAGAACAACTGGTTTTAAAAAATAGTCTGTCATGTAATAGTTTGGGTTAAAGATGTTTATTATATTCAAAAATGAGTTTTCTTCACTGAATTTAAATATTTATTTAAAATTCCCTGTGATATTTGTCATTAAATATAAATAAATGTTCCAGGCATCACATTTTAACAAACTTTAGTCATTGAAATGTATAACTGAGAAGTAGTATGATAAAAAAATATATACTGGGGCGCCTGGGTGACTCAGTTGTTAAGCGTCTGCCTTTCGCTCAGGTCATGATCCCAGGGTCCTGGGATCGAGCCCCGCATCGGACTCCCTGCTCAGCAGGAAGCCTGCTTCTCCCTCTCCCACTCCCCCTGCTCGTGTTCCCTCTCTCGCTGTCTCTCTCTGTCAAATAAATAAATAAAATCTTTAAAAAAATAAAAAATAAATATATATATATATATACTAATGTCAAGATACGGTTTATGCTTTTTTGGTTGAATATTGCAGAAGTTACATAAAATACATTTGTTTGGGTGTATCCCTGAAGTCTAAGTAATCTTCCAATTAATCTCTACATTTTGAAAATGTGTATATAATAATGGTATCGAAATTATCCTAAACCTATTCATTATGCTTTTAAATTATTTCACATAATTCAGTGAAATTATGTTTGGCATTACATAAACAACCACTGGCTTGTGGAAATGTTTTTCCCTCTGTCAGCCAGTTCGGTTCGGGTTGTGCTGTATTATATGGCAGCCTACATTTGACCAGTCAAGTGGAGAAAAATGATCAAGAAAAACCAGGAGTACTACTGAATAGGAAATTATTTTTACATTATGAAGTCTTCCCATATTTATTTCATGTCATTTGAAGAAGGTAAACCGAGACATTTTCATTCTATGGTAAGTTACTCCGTTGCCATGACTTTACAATACCTCTGTTTACTTCTTTTAGCCGCTTCTCTGCTTTGCATTCAGGCAGATGAGCTACAAGAAGCTCTCACCTCCCACTGTGTGGTCACTAGAGGAGAAACCATCATACGACCCAATACTGTAGAAAAAGCCACTGATGTCCGAGATGCTATGGCGAAAACTTTATATGGGCGTCTCTTTAGTTGGATAGTCAATCGTATTAACAGCTTATTGAAGCATGGCACATCACTAAGGTAAAAATTCTTATGGAAACATTTTTTTCCCCAAATGTCAGGTGATGCAAATCTATTTTCTAATTTACTGATTTGTATATGAGTGCCTCTGAAGATGTTCCTAATTGTTATCATGTAATTATTAAAGTTCTCTCTTTTTTTTTTAAAGATTTTATTTATTTATTTGAGAGAGAGAATGAGATAGAGAGAGCATGAGAGGGGGGAGGGTCAGAGGGAGAAGCAGACTCCCTGCTGAGCAGGGAGCCCGATGCGGGACTCGATCCAGGGACTCCAGGATCATGACCTGAGCCGAAGGCAGTCGCTTAACCAACTGAGCCACCCAGGCGTCCCTATTAAAGTTCTCTTTCAGTAGATCTGCTTTAGTTCCTAGTAGCACCTTATTGGGCCAGATAGCTATAAAATTTTTAAAGTGCTGGGACATAAAAACTGTAGCAACATGAATGAACATAATAGAAAGTGAATTTTTAATGTGACATTTTATCCATGTATATGTTCTTTTAATAAGAAGGTGTATTATGAAGTATATACCACTTGATACTTGCACAAAATGTCATTTTAGCAGGGTTTTGGGTTTTTTTTTTTTTTTTTTTGTATGTTTGCTTTGTTCCAAGGGATCAAATTAAATCTTGAAGGCAAAGGAAAACTTTCTCTTATATTTTAACTCTCACTATAACCCTGTAAGGGTAGGTCTTCTGACCTGATATGAAATTTGGTTCAGAAATGCTCTAAATAAATAGTAAATGATAGAGCCCATATATGAGCAATAATGTTATCTGACCATAAGTCTATGCCCTCATCTTAGAAATAAGAATCACAGCCACCATTAACTGAGTGCTCTCTATGTGCCAGGCATTGTGCATAGATAAAAGTCCCTACATTTACACCTAAAGCTTTGTTCTGCCACAAATTATACAATCTGTAGAAATTTGTATACAAAAAAATAAGATAGTTGCCAACTTTAAGTCACCTCACTCACGTTTACTTACTAAGCATAATAGACCATTTTATACACATTTTGGATGAGTAATTCACTGTCATTTTTCCACTAAAATACATACCACACCGTAGTATTATCCAAAATGCCTAAGAGATTGTCCATTATTCCTCCATGTTCTTAACTCTCTATCCTTCAAAATTGCTTCTTGCCTCCCTGCTAAATTGTAGCCTATCTGACTGGGTCAGCAAATCAAAATCCAATTTGCCCTTTAGGATTTAACGGTCAAAATAGTTTGTATGTTCATTGGTAGCCATCTGTGGGATGCCAACCTTTCAGATGAAAATGGAAACATTCAAGAATTTTCAATATCTGTATATTCCACAAACAACCTCATTTTGTTAGTTATCATCTGCATGTCTGGCCCCTAAGTGGTACCTGGAAGGGTCTGACTTCCAAACAGGCGATCTGCTGAAAATTCCACTATAGCCTATTCACTACTTAGTAACTTTCTTTTCCATACAATAAAGGAAGCTATCCAAATCGTAGATTGTTAAATTTTTTACAGAATGTTTAAGAAATGAAAATAATGTCATTCAAATAGTTTAGTTCAATCTGGAAAGATTTACATTAAGATTTTGAAGAGCCGGCATTCTGCGCCAGGAATGCCAGGCTTTGCCGCTAATTTGTTGCACAACCCTGGGCAAGTCACTGCCTTTCTCTGCATCTTGTCTTCTTCAGCCTGTTCAATAAAGGTGTGGAATGACAAGTCAGTGGTCTTAATTGTTGGTAGGTATCTTGGAGCCTTTTAAGAATCTCTTGAAAACTGCGTTCTCTTCACTCCAAAATAAAAAATGGACGTATTTCTACATACCCACCAAAATATGGTACATGATTGTGATTCCAGACCCTTGAAGGCCATTAGCCAATCCCAGTTTAAGAATCCCTGAACGAGGTCATCTCTAAGGTCCTCCTGGCTCTAACACATTTTTAGACAAGTTAAATATCTATCTCAGTGGGAGCCTGTGGGACTACAGTTTTTTAAAAGAATAATAATTTTGACTAAACCAGTGTAAATTTATACTTACTCTGCGTAAATAGGAATTTTCAGAAGTACCTGGATAGCTTTCCGTTTGTCGATCCCATCACAGAGTGTTCTGTAACTTTGCATTCTAAGTTCAGTTAGTTCTTCCAAATAGAGAGAGCATCCTTCACTTCGCAGCATGCAGCTGACAACAGTCATTTCCAAATCACTTCCTCACACAGCACTAAGAGTTAACCTAGGTTACATAAATAGTGAGTACAGAGAGATGTTTGTACTCCCTTTTTTTTCCAAGTAGGCTCCACACTGGGCTCGAACTCATGACCCTGCGATCAAGACCCGAGCTGAAACCAAGAGTCGAACGCTCAACCAACTGAGCCCCCCAGGTGCCCCTGTTCTCTCCTTTTTAAATTCACATGAAAAAAACTTTGCAATGCTATTTCTTGGGGGAGGGGCAAACTTTTGACCCAGTATCTAACTTTTAATGAACAAAGAGGTAACCATTATGGAGGAACAGGAAAAACATGCATTTGGAATATTTAACTATAAAATAGTTATTCAGGGCCCCTAGGTGGCTCAGTCGGTTAAGCGTCTGCCTTCAGCTCAAGTCACGATCCTGGAGTCTTGGGATCAAGCCCCATGTCGGGCTCCCCGCTCAGCAGGGAGTCTGCTTCTCCCTCTGCCTCTCTCCTGCTCATGTTCTCTCTCTTTCACTCTCTCTCTCTCAAATAAATAGATGAAATCTTTTTAAAAAATAATAAAAATAATAAAATAGTATTTAATTGCATTTTTAAATATTTGATTATAAAATAAATTCAAATATATTTATATCTTTCTCCAGGTTACCATTTATTCTATATTAAATAATTATGAATGAATAACTCAAAAATAAATAATGATTCTTTAAAAGAGGTAAAATATTTTTAGCAAGATATTTTAATTGTCCTAAAGTGAAAGGTTAAAGATACTCTTACACAGAATTTTTGCTTTTCTGGTATAGTTTTTATTGAACATATTTTTGCTGTGTTCTGAGTGCTGGCCAGGTTTCCCTATGATTCATGTCTTACTTAGGGCTATGACCTGGCACCCATGAACCTACAGGAGAAAGTATAGGGGCTGTTTCTGTAGTACAAGGAAAATCGTGTATCTTACATATTAAAATTAATGCTACCTACTTTATATTCTATGGGGAAATTTTTCACTCTCTGTCTTAGTAGTAGTTTCTTAGCTAAATCACAAAATTATCCTCTGAGATACCCTGCTTCACATTCCCTCTTAAGAAAGTAAGAACTCAAAATAATGCCTCTTTAATTTTCCAGTGGGAATGGTGATGAACTGAGCATTGGCATTCTGGATATATTTGGCTTTGAAAATTTCAAAAAAAATTCCTTTGAGCAGCTGTGCATTAACATTGCAAATGAGCAAATTCAGTATTATTTCAATCAACACGTGTTCACATGGGAACAGGTAAGTCAAGGTACTATAAAGATGCATGCATATGTGTGTGTTATATGCAGAATTGTACTAATGAAGCAGGACTTCAGTCATAGTTTTCAAGCCTTAAACATATAGGCAAAGGAAGGATTTCCTTTTCTCCATGCCTGTAGTAAAAACAAAAACAAAACCAGAAAACAAGTATGAATTTAGTGTGTCTCAAAGTGTGATGTTGAATGCCCTCCATTGAAAATCAATGCACCCTTCTGCAAAACTTAGCAAGTCTGAGCCCGTGTAAACAAAGAAGTTTCCTTTGGAAATTTAAGGAAGCAGATGTGTCCAACTGTTTCTCTTTCTGTAGACTGCATAGCTGAAATTCTCTGTGAAATTTAAATATCCATCTAAAATGCATTAAACTTCAGAATTCCAGTAACTAGGCAACAGAACACAAGATAATGGGTTTGATGCAAATGCCAAACGGCAATTTTGTCAGGGTACAACGTGTAATTTATGATTCAGCTTCAAAAATCAGAGACTTACTTGAATTGCATTTGGCAAAGCTGTAGTATTAAAATTATTTAAACTATTTTATCAAGTCTAAAAGAAGCGGTCGTATTTTATATCATTTAGCATGTCATTGGTCTCCCCATAATAATAATATGAAATTGTTTTCTGCATACTGATTAGAACTGAAATTTTTATTTAAATTTGAGATAAATTAGAGGTACATAAACCTCTTTTGATTCAAAATATTTAGGTTTATTGAGAATTTACTTTAAAATTGCATTGTGGAAACGCTAGTAGCAAAAGAAAACATTTAGATCTTGACATTTCTTGGGCCAAAAAAAAAAGGGGGGGGGACAAAAATGTAAGATTTTTATCTGTGTTTGCATAGCTCTCATCTACCCCAGGATCTGTTCCATCAAATATTCATTCCTTCTCTTCTTTCTCATTCTCTGTCTCTGGCTTTGTCTCTGTCTCTGTCTGTCTCTCTCTGCTTCTCTCTCTCCACTAGGGCCATTCCTCAGCCTAGATACATAATGAAATCTTTAAAAAAAAAGAGCCCTTCTCCAACTTGCTTATCTCCATGGCCTCTGTCTTCTCTTCACAGCCAAACTTCTTGAAAGCATATTCGGTATTCATTGCGCTGGATTGATCTCTTCCCGATCTGCATACGCTGAGTCTGTAGCATCTTGTTCTGACTTCCCCCACCCTAATGGAATGGGCCTTTCCAATCTCATCAGTTATTATTAGTATCAGAAACATTTTAGTCTCTACATTATCAGCCTCTCTGTAATTTTCAACCCTGTTGGCAGATTCGTGTTTCTGGAAAACCCCTCCTTTGGCATCCCAAATACCATCTTTCTGTTACTCATCCTGTACCGTCCCATAGATCTGTAGTTCTCAATCCTGGCTGCATATTAGAATGACTTGGGTAATTTTCTTCTTCAGTGAGTGACATTTCTGTCCACCCACTTACTCAAGCCAAAAAATGTCGTGTTGCATTTCATTTCTCATTACTGAAATCCAGAAAATTAGTGGGACTTGTTCATTTTCCTCCCTCCTCTATGCTCCAGTAAAAATACTTGGTTTATAATTTTGCCTTTCTCGCGAGGCCGCAAACTCCTTGAGGTCCAGGATTATGTTTTAATTCATTTTGTATCTTTAGAGCCCTAACATACAGCAAGTGCTCAATAAATATTTATTAAATTAGTGTCATCTTGCTTTAATACCTCACAGTGTCCACAGAATCCATTCTAACCAGAGCCTGAAACAAGTAAATTTTGTCTGTTTGTTTGTTTGGACTTTTTGATAGGGATCTATTAGGATTACCTCCTTCATGGAACTGGGTGCATCTTCATATATCTCCTGTCTGATTAATTAACAGCTTGTGTTGGTAGATCTCTGTGATTCTTCTCTTTTGGGGGTTGAGGTTAGAACCTGGTTTTATTGGAACTAGCCTTTAAACCAATGTACATAATTTTCTTTTCTTTTTAAGATCTTATTTATTTATTTGACAGAAAGAGAGAGAGAGACAGCTAGAGAGGGAACACAAACAGGGGGAGTGGGAGACGGAGAAGCAGGCCTCCCGCCCAGCAGGGAGCCCGATGCGGGGCTCGATCCCAGGACCCTGGGATCGTGACCTGAGCTGAAGGCAGATGCCTAACAACTGAGCCACCCAGGCGCCCCCATCATTTTCAATAATTATTTGCTTTTTACTTTTTATAGGATTTGTAGTTTACAGTGCACTTTGGTTGATAGTCTTGAATTTTATCCATGATCCTAATGCTCTTAATACTTTTTGCCTTTGGGCCTGCTACAAATGAAACTATTCTGGTAGGCTCTTTTAAATATCCTTGAGAGGCTTTCAAGACAAAACAACTCAAAATTGCCCCCAAGAAATTAAAATTTCAACTAGAATCCAGGATTATACAAAGCAGTTTGAGGAATTAAGGCCATTCACAATCCTTTCAAGCGCCTTCCTAAGGTAACTACGCAGAATCCCTGCTTCATAATCTTACAGGCCACGCATTGGCAGCTGAATGATCAGGTCAATGGTGTGTGATCCGCTGCATATGGGATTAGTCAGTGATTCTCTAGATTTTAACATGTGGGTGCACATGTTTGGTTTGGTTTGTTTTTCTTTTTTTTTTTTCCCACTCTGTCACTTCTCTATGAATGTGAAAATTGTAACTGAGAAATGCTTACTATAGCTGTAGTAGCTATCACAGGTTGTAGTAGCTATCACAGGTTGAGAATGCACTTATTCTGATTTCTATAAATGAGAAACAGCTATTAAGCCAAATCATTAATTAAAGTCGTGGTCACACTTTCCTTAGTCAAATATAATCACAGGTTTGACCTGTGAGCTCCTTGATTTTATAATGCCGTAATTGCTTATCAGTAGGACATACTATTCTCAATTTCATGGATATTCAAATAATCTGGGCAATCTGAGCAAGACACAAGCCTTAGGCAACACCTTCACAGATGAAACAACTTCTGGTTCTATTTAAACCAACAAACATTATCTTTACAGACAGTCCTGCAACACTGGAACATAAAGAAAGGTTTGCTGAAAGGGTTTCCTTATTTAGCCCAAGTTCAACTGATATGTGATATACAGTGAGACACTCCAGCAAAGTTGGTTATCAGGGTAATTTGAAGATCACTTTCCCGTTACTTTCTTTTTGTTGTTGTTAAGGTTATCATTGAGAGAACCTAAGCCAAGTGTGCAGGGCTGGCTTTCTGCTATTTTTTTTTTTTTTTTAAGTAGGTTCCGTGCCCAGCATGGAGCCCAACAAAGGGCTTGAACTCACAACCCTGAGATCAATATCTGAGCGGAAATCAAGAGTCAAGACGCTTAACCGACTGAGCCACCCAGGCACCCCCTATTACTTTCCACTAAAACAATAATCAATAGACTACAGTAAGACCTTTTTCGCAAAAGAGTTTATGGCACTGACTTAATCCATAGTTTGTTGGGTGGATAGTTTTAAATAACACATAGCTCCTGAAATTTTTCTGGAGTTTGATGTTTCATAATATTTGAAGCTTCCATACTTTTCCAGCAAAAGGAGAACCATTTTATATATATTGACTTTAACAAAATTTAAAGGGACAATTTATATCTGAAAACAATCGTCTGAAAATTAAATAACAATAACAGTCCCGGCTCCTACAAACAGACACTGAGTATAGTGGTAATCTTTTAATATTCAAGATTCAAACTCTTCTAAATGAGTTGCAACTGAAAAATGTATCATTTTTCCGTCAATTTTATTAATTCCACAAATAAGGTATTCATATGTCAGCCTCCTATTACATTTGTATCTGCAGTGTTTTGATGCACACTGTTTACTCCCGTATTTTTCAAAAAGCTTTTAGTTAGCAGCTCAAAGGGCAGCAAACAAGTAACCCCATGTGTGATAAGGGAGGCATCTTTTTACAGCAGCCTTCACCGAATCTCCACACTGATTATGTAGCCAGGATTTTGCTTTTGTTTGGTTGTTTTCGTTTATTTTCTGGCTTTTTCCATGTGTAAGAGAGCACAACGGTAATCAAAGTGTGATAGAAAGCTTGAAGTTCTTTTCAAGTTAGAGTCATGCTGATGCTGTGGTTGGTGGGTTTTGTCCTTTCTTTTAATGGTGCCCTATGGTGTAATGATTGTGGTGTAGCACATTCAAAAGAAATGAACCCTGTTCCCTAGAAGTTTGTTTCAAATCAAGGGGAATGAACAACCAACCATTGATAAGTAACCAATGGGCATGCGTTTGAGTTGGAGCAAATGCCATTGTTCTTTGGGGCCATTAGGTATCCTGCAAAGCATTGTTCTAGAATCCTGAAGATTCACTCTACTTGCTTCTACTCCCGCTTATACCTAAGATGAGCATTCTTATCCATTACTGCAGCACATCTTTCTGGCTGTTAACTGAATTAAAGTTCATTTTTAAAGTGAACTATTAATATTTGTTCTCTGGGGCGCCTGGGTGGCTCAGTCGTTAAGCGTCTGCCTTCGGCTCAGGTCGTGATCCCAGGGTCCTGGGATCGAGTCCCACATCAGGCTCCCTGCTCGGCGGGAAGCCTGCTTCTCCCTCTCCCACTCCCCCTGCTTGTGTTCCCTCTCTCGCTGTGTCTCTCTCTTCAAATAAATAAATACAATCTTTAAAAAAAAAAAAAAATTTGTTCTCTACAAGGAGAAGCTGTTACATATATCATTTATATATCTACCCGTGGGTTTAGAATTAAAAGTTAGAAGTCATTTTATGAGCAGGAAACCATTTACAACACATAATGGAAACAATAACCGCAATTACGGTTCTGGCTTCTCTTGCAGTAAGTGATGTGTATGACTTTCATCTCCGGCTGTTCATAGCCTAAAATTTGAAGCTTTTGAGATTTTGAATATGGGTTCCAACACGTAATTTGTGGCAATTACAAAGAATAAGAATTCATTCATTATACAGTATCTACATTTTCAACTTTTTTTTACATTACAAAGTAAAAAGAATCAGTCATCTGATAAAAAAAAA